AGCACGATCATTACACGATAGACCAAAACCCGCTAATGGCATTAGCACTAACTCTTATGAAAACCGACGATGTGTGCATATTTTCTAGCTATCTCGTAGGTTTTAGGCGCGCTCACTGCTGCAGAAACTATGAATCACTCTATCATCCCTTACCTTCCACATTGCCCCCCTCACCCGAATCGGCGCACACTTGTTCCCCATTTCTCAACACGCGTTTGTTGTGCTGGAGTGTGCCACGCTTGCTATCCTTTCTCCACACGTGCCGCGTGACATACGTGACCCTCAAACGCTTCGTCGCCTGTCCCACTGCCCCGCCGGAGCTCCAGTGACCTGTCTCAGCACAGGTGTTGTTTTGGACTATCGTGTCACGTCGAACGATTGTCCGCTCCTGCCGCCCTATGGTTGAGCTTTACAAAGAGCCCAACAGCTCAGTTCGGTGTTGGATTACCGGACCGTCAAAAAGTGTCAGTGCAGTCGATATGACTGTCATATGAGAGCGCTGTGCCGCGGGGTACGCCAGTGTATGTTTGCGCTGAGTTGTTTGCGTCCGAGGATTTTCAGCGGGGATTGTTGGTTGACTTGTCTATGATGTTGACATTCTGCTGCAGTTATCAAAGGTTAAATGGATTGTCTAAATGTGTCCCCGCTCCCCTTTTATAAAAGAGCTTTATTTACGGTTTATAGTTTTGTTGTGATATGGATGTTTTGAGATTATTTAGGTGCAGTTTGAAACATTACAAAAATATTCGTTACATTTATGCGTGCGAATAATTTTTTAGGAAGGTCTGGTATAGGTACCAGCTGTATAAGACACAGGCATCTAACATCGTACTTTCCACGAGCGTCCACTTAACCTTCCAGGCGGTGGGGGGGGGGGGCAATTTTTTGCCCCCCCTTTAGTTTTTTCGATATATCTCGAGAACCGCTGCGCCGATCGTCACCAAACTTTCAGTACCCTCCCGGGAGCAGCTAGCGCACATGGTGACCAAAATTTTTTCCAAAGGCTACGATAGGTTGGCCGCTAATGACGTCAGAGTGACGTCATTTTTGCCATTTTCGACCCAAAAAAAGGTTTCGCGGGAAGAGCTGTCAGGCCTACAGCTTTAGAGATACAGAAAAATGTTTTTAACATAAAAGGTGTGGAATTGACAGGACTACAAAACTGCTATCTCGGTTTTTCGAATTTTTTGGATTTTGACCCCAAAAATCAAAAAATAGATTTTTTGAATATAATAGCCAAAAAATCCAAGAAGTTTTTTGAATTTCAAAAAAACCGGAATATATGTGATAGCCCCTACCGCCTTCTATCTACATACCAAATTTGAGATCGATACCTCTTTTTTTGGCCAAGTTATAGCGAAAAAAACTGTTCAAAATTGATGACGTCAAATTTTCAAACTCAATTTTTAGCAATTCTAGACCTCGTAGCGCAACACAAAGACCACCATTAGACTCCCCGTGACGAGCTGCATCGAATCGATACCCATTTTATGCAAAAATATCAACTTTGAAATTTGACCTTTTTGACCTGACCTTGACCTGACCTCCACCAGAAAGTGACCTAAACCGTACCTGATGGTCTTATAACCAACACCATTGAGCTTGAAATGAAAAACTGGCCATAAAACATGCATCGCATAACCTTAGTAAAGTTGGGCTCATGTGGTGACCCTTGGTGACCTTTGGTGACCTGACCTGTGACCTGACCTGGTATGACCAGTGACCTCTAATAGCAACATATGTACTAGACAACTGACGCCTTATCGCTGATTTTCGACAAAATGCGTTTTACTCGGTGTTATAGCGCTTTCCCTAGAAGCCCCGTGAACGGTGAAACATTTTATCTTTGACCTGACCTATGACGTCATCGGTGACCCCGAGGTCAATGAAATTTGGTTTCCCTCGACAAATTTGACAGGGCTATCGAACGCCGTTTGAATTTTCCGGATCCGTCCAGTAGTTTCGGAGATACGGGGGGGGGGCAAAAAAGTGCCCCCCCCCCCCACCGCGCGGAAGGTGGCTGGTAGGCCCACCGCCTGCCGGGTTAACCCGCGCCCGGCTGGGGGTCCTGGATTTCCACGCCCTGCTGGGGGGGGGGGTGTTTGAACACCCCCCCTTCTAACTCGGCTCCTGGGCCACGTAGCGATACGCAGAAGGCGGCGTTCGAAAGAGCGTCAAAAATAATGAGGAAATCACTTCGGTCAATTTTTTGGTCAGGTCAAAGGTCAGGTCACCAGAGGTCATTGAAGGCAAAATTTCGCCGATTTCCAGGTCGAATGTCGACAATTTCCAAGAAGCCAACGCATAACTCGGGAACCAATAGAGCTACAGCGCCGCGGAAAAGCGCATTCGATAGCCCTATTAACGCCCTTTCTGAGTAATTTTCTCAGATTTGACCTAACGTCAACGGTTTTGCCTGCAGGGGGCAAAAACTGCAAAAATAGCCGATTTTTTTGGAAACAGTTTTCTGCAATAACTTTTGACCCAAGCCTTGTACGAGCTTACTTTTACCGGCATCGTGTTCCTCTCGTCAAGACGCATCGAATGAACTATAACTTGACCTTGAAAGGTCAACTTGAAAATTTGACCTCAGGTCAAGGTCATGACCTGACCGGAAAGGGTCATGTTGCATATCAGTCGATCCGTATCGTCGAGCTGAACACATCTAAGGCGTTTTCATCGCTCTAGCATGCCCCTATCAAAAGTTATTTGCGAGAAACTGTTAGATACCATTCGTGACCTAAGATGACCTCAGGGCATAAACAGGGGTCACGGACACCATTTTCATGTTCAGTGTGTCTAAACCACTTGTAATTCAGTGTTTGGGAGTGTTTATAATGTCTTTCGTCCAAAAGAGGCGCATTTCAGTTTTCTCCCATTGACTTATAATGGGGAGGTCGCAAAATTGACCTGACCTTAGGTCATCGATATCAAAATTCTGAGATATACATTTTGTACATGCTATTGCTCTTAGTAATCGCTGAAAGTTTCAAAGCAATCGGTCACTCGGTGTAGCTATGACAGACATCGAAACTTTTTATGAGGTGAGGTCACTTCAAGTGACCTGGTGACCTGACCTTGAATGACCTTGGTCTGAAATTTTCACAACATGTGTAGAATTGATGTATGATAAGGTGTACCAAAAACGGCGGCGCGGAGCGCCGCCGTTTTTGAGATATTCGCGAAAAACCACAAGGGGGGGTGTTCAAACACCCCCCCCAGCAGGGCGCGGGTTAAAACCCTCACCCTCACCATAGTCGCAGCTCGCCAAACCACAGCTCCAAATCGGCCGCTCACACATGCACCCCGAAAAACTCGGCATCACGCTGCTCTCAGCCCCGACAAAAACGCCAGTGACGACTGGCATGCTGGCGGCACCTCTGACGACAATCAGCGACACTGACCCGCCGGAAATTAGCTTGTTTATGGGCGGCGAACTGTCGTGCAACTGCACATGTTTATCACGTCCTTCTCACGTCGGCGGGTGTCGCTAAGAGGGGTGCTGCACGAGCTGGCACAGCGCCCGCCCCAGTCCCGCCGACAGACCCAGTCTGGATCTGGACCCGCGCGAAATGTGGGACGGATAAAAACTGTGTAGTGGGTGTCAAATATGGCAGGCAGGAGCGGCTGCCACGGCTAATTTGCATGATGGAATGGTGCGGATGTGAAAAGTTGTGCTTGTTTGAGCGGGGTCTGGAAGTGTGAGACTCTGTTTCGCCCCATTTGCCATCCATTAACTACTGTCGACACTCGGTGACATGCGATAACGAGCTCGGTGCCCTGACTAACCGGCAGATTTGGACGATACATGTCCTGATGCATAACCGACAAGGTCGTGCATAGCTTCCAGCATATGTTTAGCTCGTTGGTCCACTCATGTTCATTGAGTGGAACATTCGTTCATCGTGCCTTCAATTGGTGGTCTCGGGATCCGGAGTGTCTGTTTGGTCAGCTGGTCAACGCGAATGTATGACCAATTGTGGTGATAAACACTGGATTTTCGCTAGCAAACAGTGTAGGCATGAATAACTGCTTTTTATTATTTCTGACCCGTCTCGCATTGCGCCTGGATAATCGATTATGCTATTTATGTGTTTATCTGAACAATGCGATTGTTGCTGGGCTATTTCTGTCTTCGGAAGCCAACCAAGGAAGGTCCGTATTTGAGAGTCCGTTTTAGCTTCAGCGTCATGGTGTATGGAAGCACCATGTCGATGACATATCCGCCCGATCATTGTCGGCACAGCACATCCACTGTCAGACTACAGAGCTTGACGGCTTGCCGAGAGCTTGCCGAGAGCTTGCCGAGAGCTTGACGAAGAGTTTTTGAGAGCTCGTCAAGAGCTTGAGGGCGCTGTCCGCCACTGACCTAGCTGCGTGGGATGACCTCGAGAGCTGCTCTATCCATCGCAGTGTTAAATTACGGCTCAGTTTTCTCTAATTCGCCGGCGGAGTACACTCGTGACTTCAGTGAAGCCCCTCTCGTGCACTGAGGGCCGCCAATCTTGCCCTTATTGCGCATTGAGATGCACTGAGAGCACAGGCCACTCAACTTTCCATGAATACTAATTAGGGCCGCGCACTGGCTCGTGGGCTCCACGCTTGAAGTCTAACCGGAGCGCAATCACACGTAAACCACCTCACGGAAACGCTACCCACAGGCTGGTTAGCGATCAAGGCTCGAAACTAAAGGTGGTTGGATGCGATGAATACAGAGAAAATTGATGGATTGCCTGTGCGAAATGCGATGTTAATGCGGAAAATGAACGGTCGAAAATGAAGACATCAATTCTTATCTACTGGTCTTTTTAGACTTGTTTTGTGAATTATTTCGCAGTGTGTTATTTTGTTATTTTGTTATTTTGCTTTCCTGAAAAGGAGCTAGGATGTTTTATGTTTGTTAAACTCTAAAATATTGTTGTGTGTGTCGCTAAGCCGTATGTATCTATCGTAATTCAGCGTGTATATATGTGCTAACGTCTTGTTCTCTATCGTTCCAGGGTTAGCTGCACTAGAGCTGAACCAGGTCATCATTCCGAAGCACGTGATGCGCGGTGCCGACGCCGACCTGGCGTGTCTCTACGACCTGCAGGGCAAGGAGCTCTACTCCATCAAGTGGTACAAAGACGGGAAGGAGTTCTACAGGTTCGAGCCGTCCACGAGCCAGAAGAAGAAAAACTTCCCCCAGCCGGGAATCAAGGTCGATGTAAGTGCCGCCACTTTCCTCGTCGGGAAATTCGCTGCGGTGCCGTCATCAATGTGTTCGGATACATGCCTGGTGGTTTTTCTGGCTAATGATACGGCAGATGGTATGATAGTCACTAACTGGACATTTCAGGGCTGCATTCACAGCGGTTTTTAGGGAAGGATAAGCCATAAGGAAATGTGCGTGACTTGTGGAACACAGTTTGCGGTCATCTTCTGTTCTTACAGTTGTGATGTGCGTAATGCGCATTGTATCAGAAGCAAGATCAGAAGTCAGAACACATATAACAGGGTATCTTTTATTGAGTCTAGTATCGCTTATTATACTGCTTCATCCATTTTTGAGCCATAGTAGCTATACGCAATGCGATAGATGATGTCATTAATGTGTACAAATTCACTGTTATGTCTGCATATCGGTCTCCTTGACATGAATGCCCACTGATACACATTTGGCACATGTTTTCAGTTGTCTGCGTCGAATGCGACGCACGTGCGTCTTCAGGAGACGACCCTTCAGTACACGGGCCGGTACATGTGCGAAATATCGACAGAGGCGCCCACCTTCTCCTCCAAGCAGGGCAAGGGCGAGGTGCACGTCGTAGGTGAGAATGGCCGCGGGTTCGAATCTGCATGCCGATAGACATTTATTCCATGATTGAATTTCATGTTAACGAGGGTTATTTCACAACTCATTGGTAGTGTTTTAACGAAATGAGTGTATTTTCCTCATTGGCCTCATTAGCTGTCATCATACAAAGTAGTTCGAACTCCATAGCTTCAACCCTTTTATGAGGCCCATTAAGTAGTCGTTGCATGCCTGTTATCCATCAGATGTCTCTGAAACACGATGACCGCTTTATTTCGATGACTTATGGGCACGGGATAATCGCATTCCTGTGAAATACCACCTGACTATGAAAATTATACGCCTCTTGAGTGCCGCTCCTTCGGACAGCCATGAAGAGCACTCCTCCCAGAGTGCGTAGTCGTAACGCACACCTATACGATAGAAGATTTAACTAGGATCGCTGCGTTCTCCGTTTGCACTCGCTGCCAGCTAAAAGCTTATTCATATTAACCATATTTTGTATAAGATGGTGTTTGACGTGTGTAAAAAAAAAATGTGTGATTGTTAGACTATTTCAATAAATTTACACTGATTCACACGATAACAAATGACGTTTCTCGACTCTTACAAAATGTTGAATTGTTAAGAAGTAGTATGCATTCGTTTGTCTTGCGGACTGCAATGTCTCTTACATGATCCATAATCTCGTCATTGTTAGACGCAAAACGTTATCGTGCTCTCCTTTTGATCGGTCTCCACTGCTTTCTCCGCCGCTGTATGTGCTTCCACCGCGAACGCCCCTGTCATTTATACCACCCGCACGTTCTACGAGGCGAGCGTGTGCCAGTCGTGCAGAACTGTCACACCTTTACAGGAGTGGCACTTCCTCACCAGAATATCCTTTGCCCCACCAACCGACCTCCTTGAAGCTGCAGCGGCGCCGGGCGGGGGCGGCGACCGGCGGGGGCGGGGGCGGGGGCGGCAGCGATTGCCGCCCGCGCTGGCCGCCCGCCAACACTAGCTGGGGCAGATTTGTTTCGCATTTATCGTAATCAGACTAATTGGTGGCCATTTCTCGGCGCGTCCCGTCGGCTGGCCGCTGCCCGGGGCCTCAGCCGCTCGCCGTGTGCCAACTCTCAGCAGAGGAAGGATTGCGAGGATTGGCCGGGGGTGCTGAGACGGCGCCGTGCCTCTCATTCGCTCGCACGTATTACCGGGCCTTAGCGAGGAGCGGAAGCGACGTTTTGTTCATTAGGCTGATGGGTGGCTGCGCACTGGACTAGGTGGGCGGTAGAGTGGGTGGAAGAGTGGGTGAGAGGGAGGAAGGACGAAGTTCGCTCCGAATCGGGTGGCGCGGCCCGTCAGGAGCGAGATAGAGATAGATGACGGTTCGTTACGATGACTGATGGTGGTATCTCGCAGCCGTACGGCGCTTGTTTTTCTAGCGCCCCGGAGAGGAATCGCCTCAGTATTCCTGCAGGAGCCCGGCTAATTAGTTTGCTTCAATTAGCTCCGATGAAATTGAAAGTAGGACAAAGAACGGGTGCGCTTTATTTCAAGTTATTTGTCTAGAAAGAAACTTGTTTGCTGTTTATGAATATTCCTCAAGGTTTCTGTGTTTCGCTAGTGAATTATACTTTAGACTAAGTTGCACCCTTAATTATTTGCAATATGATTTGGGCGCATGAAAATATGAGCCCCGGTGCGCCACGTCCGAAGAACGTCATGATTAGCGTTGTTGTAAGGATGCCGGAGCATTCAGTGTGTTTCACAATTATTGCTGACTGCCACTACACATATCGCGTCCTCAAACCGAATGGATTGATAGCAAATTGCTCGGCATTTATCAGCACATATCACTGTCATTACTCACTATGTGACTCGGGCTTCACAAAACACGAACAAAAATGATAATGCGCTGATCTTCCTAATATAAAATGTTTTTTTCAATAGGATTAGCTTACTGTTAATTTGTGACCATTCCGTGCTAAATGCTAACAATGCATGTGTCAGTTGACGTTCCCTCGGTGGTCACGCTTCTGTTCACTTAAGTCGTCCCAAAACTCGCTGACGGTTACCACGAAAACGGCCGCTCCCTGTGCCACGTTATTGTGCTTAAGTGCATGAACACTAGCGACGAGTCCGGGTATACAAAAGAGAAATAAAACCAGTAGACTGAACCTCTGTGTCCTTTGTCGAGGAAATTTCCCCAATGTCGCTCAGCATTAGCTGGGAGCGGCCGGTTGGGTCGCAGGCTGATGTTATAAAATAAATCCAGAGTCCTTTGTTTATCAGTTAGGTATTCAGTTACATTTTGTGCAGGAATGGACAGTGTCAAAATGATATGGACCGGCGAATCTGAGGTGGTCTATCAACTGCCCGATTTATTGTCGGGTCTAGGAGCGCCACTGGGTCCTGTGTTTGTGCTCAGTTCAATGTTATGCTAGATCAGATACAAATAAAAAATGAAACGAGTGTGATAGACTTAAAACCTGGATTATTGGTAGATCAATAATTGATTGCACTTTCCTTCAAGCGATGGCTTACTTTTCTAAGTTTTGATTCCAGAAATAGCGCTATATGAGCTCGGTTATGGACCTGATGGACTTAAACCAATGGATCAGAAGCCTCATTCCTCAAACTCCCACGAGCTCAATTATGAGGATATAATTGGACTTCGTGAATCACTTTCTGATGAAATAACTGATGACTACATTTATGGAGTTGTACGGAACAAAAAAGCGAAACAAAAGAATATCCCTCAGCATCAGGAAATATAAAAGGAAGTGTAATACATTTACCATAGATATGCCTATTGCCTATTTGTCACCTATCGGACACCTCGTGATTTGAAGAGCCACACTGATTGAATTCGGAGCTGATATGCTAAACTCAGGTTTATCCTTGCTTTCTTGGCACCCTTATTACACTTGATCAAAGAAGCGAAACATAGGAGGCGAAAAATGCGACCAAGATGCACATTTTATTCATCCGCTACAGTCATCAGTGTACTCTGTACAGGCCCACAGCACGAAAGCCTGACAATCACTTTATTCGGTGTGGGTTGATGGCCTGCCCTACCTCGAAGCTAGCCACGTCCAAGATTGGGAACGCTGATTAGTGTTAATCCGACAGTGATTGTCCTTCTGTGATTTAGTATTGGGGAACTCAACAGCACCATTTTAGCGCCTGCATCCTTTGGATATCAACGTTCTATGACACTCATGTTCAGACCGTACACTCATATGATTTGATTGGTCCTGATAGCCAAATATCCAGAAGCCTAAATGAAGCAGGAGTAAATATGGCATAGGGAAACTTCCCTCTAGTGGATGAGAATGCATTTAATTTTATAGTTCGTGGGAGGGATTAGCTGTGTCGTGTCGGACATCTGTCGCGCTGATAGTCGGCTCCGCTGTCAGCTGTTGACTATCGTTCTGTCGTGAATGGTGACGAAGGCTGCACGTCGTTTGGGAATGTGACGCCCTGGACCGTGTCAACGTCCAACCGTATTTATGCTGATCCATCTGTATATGAAATAGCCCCGCCTCGCGGATTTATAGCTGGTCGCCAAAGTCCAAAATTGGCCGGCTCTTTATCACCAGCTTATCACCATCATGGGAGTAATATTTGCGGATTTATTCCGTGAATACACATTTGACCTGCTTTTCCGACTATTCGACGAAAGTGTCATCCGTGAGGAGCATTAGCAGGTTATTTGATCAGCATATTCGCCGACGAATAAAACAGCTGCCTAAAATAGTTCCGCTAACAAATGATCGCCATCGATGGTGCCACTGAGGCTTTATCAGCTTTGTGGGTGTGAACTTGAAAAGCCGGATCTAGAATACTTTTGTTATTTAATATGTTCAGGATGAATAACCCGCCTGCCTTTCTAACACATGATCGGGCTACATCCACTGCGATTCTTCGTAGCACCTTTGGATGCTTGGATTACCTACCCAGCATTACACCCACCTAGGCTCCTAACGCAACATTTCTTATCGCTCTCTATGTGTAGCCCATGACCGCACGGATTTGGCTACCCGGCAGATTTCTAACAGCCTTCCTCCACCTCTATCTGCAGTGTTCCCCGAGGAGGGCCCGGTTATAACGGGCGGCAAGTCGCGCTACGAGGTCGGTGACCGGGTCAAGGTCAACTGCACCTCCTACAAGAGCAAACCGGCCGCCGAGCTCACCTGGTTCATTAACAACGAGGAGGTGAGAAGAGTGGATGGTGGACTTGGATTGACGTGCTTGGAGTGAGTCTGTGACGCGAGTAATGGTAAGAGCATGAGGCATTTGAGAAGCAGATCACATAACTCATGTCGTTTTATGGAACAGCAACAGCTAAATAATGGGTGCAGCATTCCCCGCGTTTGCATTTGCACGGTGGCAATGCTCCGAAGCAGCGGCGGCGCTGCGCGTGAACGCACGCCTCGCTCGCGCTGTTGTCGGAGAGCTGTTGTGCGCCGCGGTGGTGACGTGCGCCGTCCGCGCGCTGTTTGTGTGTCTGTCTGCGGGCCGGTGGCGCCGCACGCGCCCCTGTTTGGACAGATGGGTCCGGCTGGCGCCCCGCGGAGGGGGAGGGGAGGGGCCGGATGACGGCAGATCCGCCAGTCACCACCCCGTCGTGTGTCACGGTGATGACCCGTCTGCTTGGTCACGGTTCAGGCGGTGGACGGGTTTAAATGGTAGTGAGCTCGTATCACGGTAGGGGAGAGTGGGGTAATTTGGCCAGTGGTGTAAATTGGCCGCCCCCACCTGTACGAAACCTGATAAAAGTGCATGAAATAACTTAAGTCTCTATTCATTTGTCATCGGCAGAACTAACCCGAGAACAAATGTCAAAACTTTGCCCCTCGCAGTTTTATTCAAAATTAATAAAACGTTAATTTCATTAGAAAATGGTAACTTTTGCTTCTATTTACAAAGTTGTATAACATGTAGTATTTGGGCTACAAACGAATTCAGACATTATAGCGCCATTCTTGAGCGTGTTCAGCGGTTCCAAGAGCAATTTCATCTAGTTCTGTACAGGCATGACGACTTTATAGACAAAAATTTTCAGAATGGCAATGTGGGGTTATTTGGCCGGGACTAGCGGGGCAACTTGGCCGGTGCACTCAGCGTCACTATGCTGGGACGGCCGAGTTGTCATGGTCATTATACCATAAAGGACATAATTCATGACCAACTTTGACTACCTTGATGCCATATTTCCTATTGGACAGCTGTAAGGGTATGTGACGTCATCAAAGGTTACCTAACGCTTTTTTGCTAATAACTACTTAACCCGCGCCCCGCTGGGCTATTCAGCCATACGCGCCCTGCTGGGGGGGGGGGGGGCAGATTCTGCCCCCCCTGTCTAACTTCCGAACCGATGGTCGTAGAAAGACGGGGAAAACGGCAATCGAAAGCTCTCAACAAGGCGGATCTTAAGAGCCCAATTTTTTTTGCTTAAGTAGGTCAGAGGTCAGGTCAAGGTCAGGTCAAGGGTACAAAATGCAAGTTTCTACAGTATCGGCCTTGCACCGTAGTTGGCGAAGAATGGACTGAGACTGATTGCCCAAAACGTGTTCTTAGACTACCAAGACAATATTCGTTGCACACAATGTCATTCAAAGGTCAAGGTCAAGGTCAGGTCAGGTCAGGTCACCAAAAACAAAATATAGAAAAGGGCATGTGCGACACATGTTTTATGGGTCATTTTACTCATGGAATTCAATAGGCACACTCAATAAGTGATATGGACCACCTCTGGATGAATTTCAGGTCGAGGTCAGGTCAAGGTCAGGTCAAGTGAGGTCAAATTTTGAAGTTGGTTGTTAAGGCCTAAAAAGGTGTCTATCCGATGCAGTTTTTCACGACGAATCGAATGGTGCTATTTTTGTTTCCGTATGAGGTCTAGAACTTCCAAAAAAAAAATCATTTTTCAATTTTTTTGTGTGTCGTGACGTCATAAAATTTTGAATAACTCCCACATTTTTGAACCGATTCTTCTGAAAATTGGTATGTAGGTGCACATAGACCAGTTCTTTTACATATATTCCGGTTTTTTCGATACACTCAAAATTTTGGATTTTATAAATAATTTCCCAAAAAAGTCAGTTTTTTTAGAAAATTTTGGCCAAAATCCAAAATTTTCAAAAAACCGAGATAGCCATTTGATAGACAAAGTAGAATCACGTATAAACTTTTTTGTTACGTCTTGATTCCTTTAAAAATGAAGATGTTAGCGGCGTTTGAAATTTTGCCGTTTTTGAGGCGAAAATGGCGAACATGACGTCACTAAAACGTCAATTTCTCGAAAATTTTCCGACGGATTTCGCTCAAATTTTCAGGGAACGTGTCAAATTGATGTATGATAAGGTACTGAAAGTTTGAAGTCGCTGGCGTAACGCGTTTAGAAGTTATTGGCGAAAAACGGGAGGGGGGGCAGATTCTGCCCCCCCCCAGCGGGGCGCGGGTTAAAGAAAAAGATACAGCCGCACAAATGGTCTCATTGTGTTCAGCTCGTCAAGGCGCATCGAATGATATACATGATGACCTTGAACTCACGCAACCTTGAGGTCAAGCGACCTGAGGTAACGTGACCTGAAGCCAACCTTTGACCTTGACCTCTCGAGGTCAACACATACATGTTTCGATGCGGAATGACGAGAGAATTACGATGGTACTTTTAGTTTTGGCCTAGCTTGATTACTTCAAAAGCTATTTGTAGAAAACTGCAATCGCATCTAGAGCCGCTATTTTGACTATTTTCGACCCCTGTGACGGCTGAGTCAACCTCCAAAATGCTTCAAATGCGTCGTAGGACATGCGTCATTGCTGAATGTGAAGCTGACTCGCCTATAACAAAAATCATGGCCTCAAACTAACACCGGCCAAATTGCCCCACACCCCCGGCCAAATAACCCTGCTAGTGGGGCAATTTGGCCGCTTTGCAGACCCTTGTAATACGTCACAATTTCAATATAAGTAGTTACTCTATCATTTCAAGTTTACTGTCCAGGAAAGTAAAATGTATGCCAAACCTGTCAGCGTGGAGAAAATGCAGAAATGTGTTGTCGATTTTTAGTTACATCGGTTTCTAAAAAAAGCGGCCAAATTACCCCACTCTCCCCTATAGTATGCGGTAGAGCAGTGGAAGGTCATGTGATTAGGGTAGTAGGACGGAAATAATGCGTTTGGTGCTCGGTGCTGTTCGTTGTTAGCGTCATAGATCAGTGTTGCTATCGCTGCTATTAATCGTTGGTAGCGTCAACGATTGAGACTAACGTACGGCCCTCCAGCAAAAGAGTGGTTGGTTAGCCTATGTGCTTTTGGTGTAATAACTTTGAATGACAGAGACACTCCTGTAAAATGACTCAATAGAAATTAGAAGAGAGTTCGTGCACACATTTCGGCAATGGTTTTCAACAGCCGTTAGACGTATTCATCAGTGCAGATCGCTTATTGTGATGTTGGCAACCAACCACTAAATACCTGGAGGGCCGTACGACGATGATTACTGACCTGAGCTAAAGCGTCACGACGAAAATTACTCGGAAACTTTCGGCTCATTTTTGTCGGACACTTTGGTATTCTGGCTGTCGGGTTCTCGCATCCAATTCAATTAGGCACGGGGAATGCACGCAGGTCACGCATGGGGTCTTTACGAGGCCCTACGTAACGCAAAGAAAAAAAAACAAGCCCCAGGCTAGTCCACGTAAGTGGCTGGCGGTGGCCGCTACTGGCTGTGGTGACTCCTGTCGCTACTTTTCGCTGTGGAGAAGACTTCTGCTCCCCGTCGGCTCCGAAATGGTCATCCATCATTTTGCCGACAAGTTAACTGGTGGCTTAAGTTTGGTCACGGCGATCTTAGCAACAGCGGCCGGCCGGCTAGAGCCAAATTTACTGATACGGAGATGAATCAGCAAGTTTTCCATTCTGTTTCAGTTTAGTGTGCGTTTGTCATACTATTTGAGCTCAGAAAGTCGAAAGGCAGACCGAACTGAACGCAGGGCATCACGCAGGGTAGCGTACTAAGCCAGGATAGCCCCGGATGGATTAGCGTTAATGCGGTGTACTTAACTCCTATCTGACGGGTTTGTTGGAAAAAGTGGTAAATGGTTATCCCAAACAGTTTACAGTGTATGTCTCGGAAGCGCTTGACACTTATCCATATAAACATATTTCCATGCGTCGCTTTTTTACATACAACCACATTTACGCCTATAAAAAAGAACACTTTCTGCTACTCAACCAGTAACGTTTATCATACGAAAAACGGGCTCATTGTTTTTTGCCTCAATATTTTGTACCGTTTCCAACCACTCCATCCAAATCTCCACCTCGTGACTGTGTGGACGGCCGTGGTCTCTCGTGGATTTTAACGTGAACGTCCCACCCCCACAGGCGGCGTTGGAACACGTGGAGCTCTGGCCACCCACCATCCACGACGACGGTCTGGAGACGATGACGGCTGGCCTGCACTTCCGAGTGCGGCCGCACCACTTCCGCTCTGGCAACATCAAGCTCAAGTGCGTCTCGCAGATTCCCGACATGGTGCAGCCGGTGTACTGGCAGAGTCGCGAGGAGAGCGCCGTGGGCGACCGGCCGCCCGAGGTCTCCCAGGTGCTAGACAGCACGGCCGACAACCGGAAAAGTAAGACTTCCGGTCAGTTCCCGATGTGGGGGTGGAGAAATGTTGTGTGGCTGTATGTGGTGTTTGTTGTGGAATGTTTGTTGTGTGTGGAGGTTGGGTGGTGCACTAACGCTGCACTAGTGTTTGTTGTGGACTGCTTGAAGCGTGTGGAGGCTGGATGATACAGTGAAGTTGTATGTATGGTGGTTGTGTGTCGTGTTGTCTGTGTATCACTGTACGGTTTATGATGAGATCCAGAGTGGTCCGAGTTCTCGCCAGCCCGGTAGCCGCAGCGCCGTCTCGTCCCGCTGTAGCCACACCCGCGGTGGGTGGTCAGCCACACTGTTTGTGTTCCACTTCCGGCGGCCTTCAGTGGCCTTGTTCCTCGTCCAATTACGCCTCCTCCGCCGCTCGGCGGGACGACGTCAGTTGGCCGGGGCTCCGCGCCGAGCAAAAACCGGCTTCGTCGCCGCCCCTTCTATCACCGGAACGATGCGGGCGTCACTGAGAGACGAGAGGTGACGCCTGGGTGACGAGAGGTGACACCCGAGTGGTGCAAAGTAGCGCCTTTGTGTAGCCGACGTGACGGTCCGTTCCGCCACCGTTCAAAGAAAGGCCGCTGCTCCCTCCGCGCCTCAGGGTGCATTTCGACTCGAATGTAGCCGCGACTGTGGGATTGACTCTGACTCGTGCCTCGAAAGTGCATAGTGGTTGATTTTGACTCCTGCTCTCCCGTTAATTTCGGCTCTCATCTGCGACTGTCTTTCTTAACGTCCCAAATTCAGGTCTCAATACCGTAACTCGCGCCATGGTGTGCCCTCTGTCCGTCGGCCAGGCAGTACCAGCCGGTCACCAGGCCCGGTCTCCAACTGGCGCGTGCAGCGCCGTCGCTCGCGGCGGGTGGGCTCCGATCCCGCTAGACGCGTGATGAGCCGGGACGTGGCAGCCCGTGCCTGCAGGGGACAGCGGCGACGGCGCGGGCTCGCTTACTCTGCGAAATTATGAGTCATCCCCACAATTCTGGCTTAATGGCTTCTCAAAGGGCGTCGTTATTCTCACTAGTCGGCTGCGTATTGGCAATAAAGGGCGCGCCGACGGGCCGACGGGCGACTCGGGCGATGACACAAAGCCGGCGGCCGGCGGCAACAGCTGGCCTGATCGCCGACGGACGAGCGGCGCACTTTTTATCGGCGACAAAACAGCGACAAAAACAATACGGCGCGGCGGCGACAGTGGCGCACCAGCCGCGCAACAGTCGACGGCGTATATTTCAATCTATAGCGCCGCCGCCCGCCGCGCCGGCCGGCCGGCCGGTTTTGTGTATTCATTCTGGGTGTCTTCTCCCCCTCCCGATCCACGTCTCGGAAGGCAGGGAGATGCGTGCGATATTGAGGACGGGATGCGGATGATGAAAAATGTGCGTCAACAGGCAGGCAGAGCGAGGAGCGCCTCGTGTGCGGGCGGAGAGAGCGGTGGGAGGATCTCATAAAAGGACGGCCTTTCAAAACGGCTCGTCAGCGCGGCTGGGTCGCGGCCGAGTCTGATTTTCATGAGGCGGGTAAAATGGCCCGTTGTAGGTCATCTGTCTTCATCTGACCACCAGCTGCGGACTCGGCTCGGACTGTGGCTACTGCTCTGATGGGAATGAAATTGTCTGTCCGTAATTAATTTTTCGAAATAAGAATACTCCTACTGCTACTACGTCATTGTGTGTAACGAAATGTCTCCAAGAATGTCTAGAAATTCGAGCCGGCGTCTTTTCCTTTTTGTTCACCATCCTTAACGCTTCCACGCATTGAATCATGCTGATTATGACTGGATCCATATAACCATTTAGTAACAACACCCTAAAATGAAATCAACATTAGCAATGGTAGTCATCCTCATCAGCCGATTTCCAAATCAGCTCCACCCATCAACAGACGGGTTCACACTAAATCAGTTCGAACTGCCAGCTGTAGTAAAACTAATTCCGTCAGTCATTTGCACTCAGTCGTAAACCGGATAGTATTGGGTCGGCTGCGCCCGGGGCCGGCACAGGGCAGTAATTTCGTCCGTAATTTGTTTATCAGTCGCTCGACCCGGCCGACCGACGGCAGGCACGTGACTTGACAACGACGGCGCCGTCGCGGCAGTACGCTTCATTGACGTAACAGGCACCGCCGTCGTCATTAGTGTCATTTATGGCCGGCCGTCCCGCTGTCACGGATGTGCGTCTGCGTGCGACTGTGCGTACCGTACGCGTGCCGATGTGACCCGCCACATACAACGGGAGCGTAATTGTGTTCGTGGGAAAGCGACCAAAGGGAATCATTACAATCTGCGATTCCTAATGGCAGCATGTAAGAAGGCAGTGCCGACTGCCACAGGTATGGTAAGGGTCTTTGTCAGTCTCAGTAGCCGCCGATTTCGGAAAACTGGATTGCTTTGCTAAATCAGAGGAATTATAGGGAACAAATCAAGTTTGCGATTTCACTCGTAACTCATAAATCGCAATGGACCGACGATAAACTTCCATGCCTTGAGCAACCCAACTGGTAGCCCAAAATAGCTCTATGGAAATCGTACGCCATGGGCGGCATTATATCGCAATGTGCCCCAGCATCTACCCCAGCCGGGGTGCCTCCAATAACCGCTGCTATGGCGCCGCCAGAGGCTTTTTGCCGCAGGAAATTGGGCGCAGTCACCCGAGTGTATTTCGCCGGGGCACCAGTGATATTTTACGGGGAATGGCTCCTCTCGGGCTGTATTTATTTAAGTGGACGCCGTTGTTCCGTATCACCTGTCATTTGTTTCGTGTCCGGGTATTTATTGGCGGCCGTCGTAAATATGAGTTTCTTTCGAGTCAGTGTGACAGAAGGACATTTGTTTTCGCTGAGGGACACGATATTGGAAATTGTTTCATGTCTTGTGGCGACAGAACTGCATCCGAGTACAAATGGAGAGAGATGTCCATTCTGAAGTTCAGTGGAACATTGCACACCGAATGAAATGTGGTGGTTAGAAGACTTATTGTTCTGGTGCAACTTGTTCCGATTGCCGCCTAAAAATCAAACAAACAAAAAACAAAGCAAAAAAAAAAAACAATAATTGTTTGTCTGCTTTATAAACCAGTTATAATGCCTCAACTCATTGACATGTTTTATCTCTTCTCTGACCGTGGTTTTTTCTCCTTCCTTTCCAGATAACGGCTGTCCGCTCTGTCACGAGATCGCCAACTGGCTCATTTTGGCGGTGAGCGTCATCCTCGCCAGATGAGAGACCAGCGAGGTCAGATGAGTGGGCCAGCAAGGTCAGATGAGCCGGTCCGCAGGTCAGATGAGCCGGTCCGCGGGTCAGATGAGCCGATCCCCAGGTCAGATGAATAGACCCGCCGTGAACGTGTCAGCAGGTCAGGTGACGACCTTATTCCGCGTGGCATGAGGCTGGACTCGAACAGCGTGATCAGGGCCGCCCGCGGCCCATAGTGCGGCGAGCATCGCTCTCCAGTTAATGTATCGGTGTATGTGTTCACTCCCATATCCTGGGCAACGCTTGGCAAGATATCGAGGTGAAGCATTGACTGGCGCGGCTGACATCCCCAGCGCATTTGGGGAGCGATTTCATCGGGAATGAAAGGTGATATTAGAAGCAGAGTTTAGTTGAAAGCGCGAGAAAAGTGTCCTCCGCACTTCACCAGCGTTTTTCTGGATCATGATGAATGCTGAATCAGCTGCAGCTGAGAGTGTGAAGATGACTTCTTCCGAATTTCTTTGACGTGGCTGTCATACGCACGCGTCGGACGTCGGCGAGAGTGCCGGCTGACAGTTGACAGTTGACAGGTGCCGCCTGTCATCGCGCGCTGGGAGAGAGGTGTCATCGAAAAATACTCTGCTGGGACGCGCGTCTCCGAGAGAGTCAGCGGAAGCAAGCAATGCAATCACTCGTAGGCCTCGTAAACTGCGTTTCCGGCATTTGAGGCCTGGCTCGTTAATGTTGGTGTTCCGAACTGGACGAAGCGGCCGCCCGGATGTGCAGAGAACGTGTGCGGCGCCGGTAGACAGTGGCGGGCGCTCGTGAGTGTTTGCCGCCGGGCAGTCTCCGTGTGGCGGTGTGCGGCGAGGTCGGCCCCGGTGTCAGGTCGACCTCCCGCAGTCAATGTGATAACACTAGTCTTTGGCCAAAGAGCGGGGACGGCCCCTCTGCGCTGGCGAAGACTGGACGTAGCTCTTTGATATCACCAGATAAGGTCTGTGTTTTTGTTTCGAGATGTGCACGCCTGGCAGATGATCTGAGCCAGTGTGCGTTTTAACGAAGTGTCTTTTATTTTTGTCAAGGAGGGAAGCTACGCCGAACTGTGCAGCTCCCGTAAGTTGTCCGTTGTGTTTCTGCATGCTTTGGCCGACCATGTTGGTGACATGCGGGCCGCTCTGCGCGATGACGCGTCGGTCGTGTCCCACCCTTGTCGCCGGCGAATACAATGGAGCGCCGTTTTCCTGTGGATGTCTGCCAGCTCATTGTTTCCGTGTTGAGTGTCTGATTGTGATTCCTGACGATGTGTGCGAGCCAATGCGGCTGTCACATGGCTGCAGTCCTCCCCTCCCCCCCCCCCCCCCCGCCTCCCCAGCCGACACAACAGCGACTTGAAAGCAAAACATCCCGGTCCCACATCTTCCATCGTCACCTGTCGTCGACCTCCCGCCGTGCGCCGCCACCCACAGTTCATCGCTTAAACTTCGGACGTGCAAATGCCATGCCGCAACGTTACGTTGACGGGTTGTACGCGTTCCTCCGTGATGACTCCGAAACCAAAACACGCGCGGTGTGGTTACGTTAACTCCTGTCAAACTCTCGCGTCGTTCGGACGTGCTCTCACCAGTGACGGCTATGTAGATGGATGCCGCTCGCGCGCAGCGTCGCTGGCGACACGCGGCTATCCATCGACGGCCGTATCTGCACGTGCAGACCCCGCCGAATCGTCTCGGCTGTCGCCCTCCGTCACCGTCGCGGCGGCGCGCCCTTCACAGTAGCAAACAGCCCATCCGTCACCCTGACTCGTTCGGCAAAGTGCACTCTCTCATTTTGCGCGCTCGCCATGATTTAGTTGCCCAGACCCTCGGTGACTGCCCGCCACTCCGCACCGCTCGCGCCGGCTTTGTCGCGAGACGCGATGCGCCCCATTGCGCCGCTAATGTCTATTCTGCGCTGCATACGCTCCGACTAAGGAGGCGCAGAGGAACTGAATGAGGAGGAAATTCGTTGCCGCTCTCGCGTCAGGAGCTGTGTCAGTGTTTGCCAGCGAAAAGCTGCTGGTACTAATGTGTGGGCCGAGCCTCTGACTATCATGTTCGGGTGAGGCTCGGACTGCACGTTGAACTGCAGGGCGACATAGACTGGCAGTATATGTTGTAAGTGTTAATATATGCTTTATTTATGAACACTGACCGGTAGTTTGTATTTCGTACGGTGGAAAAGAGGGAGCCGTCTGGTTTTTCGGGTGATTGTGAACATGTTCCCGAGTTCTTGAGTCACTGACGCCAATTCAGCCAGGAAGTTAAGTTGTGGTGGACTTACGATTCTATTTCGGACTCCGTGTCGGTTCTAGAGGACGGCGGTTTTAACTTTGTCGAAAGAGCCTTTCATCCGGTCCATAACTCTCACTGCACTTCAGCTCAACGAATGGCAAGATATCGAGAAACGTTTTACGAGTAACATTTTCGCCGGCATTTACGCCAGATGCAGTAGTATATAACGCTCCTTCCTAGCGGCTAAATCTAAAACCCTGATGTTAGTTCAATAATTTACGTCGCCCTTCTCATACAACTCTTCCCTAAGAGCATAGGGTCGTTAATTACCCATACGTGCATTATCCTGGATTCACTCGAGTGGGCGGAAGCTCCATCCCGGCCACTCGGAGGCCTTTGTTGTGCCCGAGTGGGTGGTCAGCTGAGTGGGACCGCGTGACCGCCGACTGTGTCAGCTGAGTGAGACCACGTGACCGACCGCCGCAGGGCAGCTAGGTCACGGTGACCCGTCAGTCGTGGGCGTGGTGCGTTGCGGTATGGTGGCGTCGCGCGGATTAATGGTTGAAGTGAAGCTACTTCCAAACTGCCGCCATCAGCAAACACGGAAGCCTCGGCACTGACTTCTGTTGCCTAATACGAGTATGTTATTTGCGGTTTCGGCCGTATTGAATCATTCATCTCTTGTTACGATGTAATTGACAAGTGACAAACTAGGCGACTCCCTTTGCAACTATCACGTCGTGTGAATAGCATCCATTAACTCAGCCTACCAGTTTGTGTGATCGTTCCCGGTTTGTGAATGCCCAATATAACCCGAACGGTAGCTCCTCGCCGCGATGTTTGCAGTGGGCCGCCCGAAAGGTGTGACGAGCTGTCTGTCGTCACACCATTAGCCGGCAGACGCCTTGGACTGAGTTACTCGCGACCGCGGCGAGCAGGAAAACCGCCGCCCGAGCGAACTGCTGAAAGGTATCGCGGGCGGACATCTGCAATCGCGGTCGGCGCTGACGGGTAAGTCAACAATCAACATCGTTAGGTAGTGTCAACACGCTCACTTCCAGAGGCGGAACGGCGGCCTTGAGGCGCCGCTGACTGTGGAATTGCCGTGCGGGCTGCGCCAGGAGCTGAGCGTCGGCCGTCTCTTCCGTGTGTGGGCTGGCGGCCGTGCTCTGCGGGTTAGTCTAACAGCCCAGGCGCCGGCTCGGCTGGCGAGAGGAGACCGCGCCCGCCCGCCCGCCCGCCGCGCCGCGCCGCGCCGCGCTGGCCAGAAGGCGCAACGACGCTGTCTGGCGCTTTTCGCCGCTCGCGCTCCTGTTTAGACGCTAGTTGATGGTGCCATCAGCGGTGCGGCTGTCGTGGCGCGCCGCGGCGTACTCTCCGCACCTGCGCCGCCGCTCGCCGCGCCAGGTTTTGTGCTTTCCGCGGCGCAGCTGCCGCTGTAGAAGGGCTTCGATTACAGATCAAACGACGCTGCGGCGTCGGTCTGCCGGCGGATGCCGTCATCTGAGCGCGGTGAACGACAGACATCGGCCAACAAATCGACCGCTAATAGAGCGCGGCGGCCGGTCCGTCGTCCCCCCCCCTCCCCGGTGCCGGCGCCGGTTCGCCCGCTCTGTGTGTTTGTTACAAACCCTGTGTGACCAGATAACACGGGACGTGGGTACGTCCGATGTCAGAACATGACCGACGGCAAACACAGACCAGATGCCGCCTGTAAAACAGGCCCTCATTTAGATAGAGGCATCAATCTGACCAGCACCGGCCTCCAGCTTGGCCCTGGACGGTCTACATTGGTCAGATAATGGCTAAATTTAGCGATCGATGCCGGGCTGGTCAGTATTTGCACCGAGTTGAGAGCGTGTCTCGTCAACGGATGCTATTTTGGTAATACGAGAGTTATGTAATGGGATGCGGGACTCTGTGAGGCAATATCGGCTATACACAAGAATTTTAACGACATAGCTCGATGGGAAAGCACGAACTTCAAACAGCGGCTTTTGCCCTCTCGCCCCACTGTTAGGTATTTACAACCCATAGGCGGCGGAACGGGGAGGGCACCGGGGCATCGTGCCCCCCTTTGATTTTGGCATTTTAACATTAGCCCTATGGGCGTTGCATGGAAAGAATGGAACCAAAAGTCGGCAGTGCCCCCCCCCCCTTAATTGAAGGTGTCCCGACGCTACTGTTACAACCATTGGATTGTGTGTTTCAAACCGACCGTTTGTTTTCGAATTAGATATTTGTTTTCATGCCCCGTCCAGCTGATCTGTGGTGATTTAATACAGAAAGGCATCAACAACATTTGCTAGCAAAGTGATTAATTATTTGCGTCTTTGATAAGTATACAACTTGTTGTTTGAACATTGTTTAAGGTCAGACCCGATTGCATTGTGACTAGCAAAAGATGTAAGGTGTCTAGAGATGACTTGCCAGTAACGGTTGCACGGACTTGTGTAAACTGTGCATTTCATGAATATGTAAGACATTCCAACAAAAATTTCCCGACGTTTCGTTTATCATAACCTCAAAGGTAGGCATAGTTTTCAACCTATTGTAATGATTGTCCTTGAAAAACAATCCAGGATAATGATTATCCTTGATTAAACGAAACGTCGGGTAATTTTTGTTGCAATACCTTCCATATTTATGAAATAATGGTCACATTATAACGGCGTTTACTTTTATCACATTAGTCGCACACAACAGACCAGCGAAGCAGTCACAAGCAGCTATTGACGTCAAATCTCCATCATCTGTCGTCGGTCTGCCGTACTTCGATTTCTTCAAAGCGCTCTTCTAACACTGCTAATGCAACGAGTCTGACTAGATTCCCAGACACACCACTCAACCAAGCTATCCCAACAGATTTATTGATTTGATGAAGTGCATATTACTGTTCCCTCTCAAGAGAACTATCGATACAGCGTAGTTGATTGACGATGGCACATTTATATTCGGAATGGTGATTGTTACAGATAAGCCCAAATAGATGCAAACATAGATAAACTGGAACAAATCGAACAATGCATCGTTATTGCTGGTGCCTTGAGACATCTCGATCGGGATCAGCAAAAGTATTATCATATAAGTGTATCACTGTCTTACAATACATATAAAGCGTCGGTATCGTCGAGGCATCACCGTCGTGTTCCCTGGACCCAAAAATTTACCAGCTTGGCCGGGACGCTGTCGATCCATCAGTTCAAGCGTCTCCCGGGTCGTCTAAAAATGGATCGGGACCGACCCAAAGCTGCACTAATTTATCTCACTTCGAGCGGTGGCAGTTCTTCACCAAAGTACACACACGCGGCTTTCATTGGTGCGGTCCTCAGGCGAACTGCCGACAGCGAGTCCAACTAAAACACTCGAGTCTGACGGCAGACCGACAGTCTGTAGTCTGTACTAATGGTCTGATTGGACCACCGGGCTGGACACCTTAACACGGTCAGGCCAGACTAAAGTGTTAGGCTGCTTATTACTTTATATAATGTAGGTAATGAATAATGATACGGTTTGTGAGGCATTGAGATGTCTTGTAAAAGCGACGACAATTTATGAAAAACTTCCCGGTTTGCCCTCCCAAATTCCAGACCAAGTATGAAATGGAAATTAAAGATAGATATTGAACACGAAAAAATGAAAGCATAGCGATGCTCTAAAAATAGTACTCACATGATGAGGTCTTAAGGACCATTTGATTTGGATTCCGTAATCGTAACATGCCTGGTGCAGCTGAATGCGGTATTCGAAATTGTAGTTGTAGCATTAATCAGAGTACGACTGGCTGGCTGTCTTAGAAGCAAAGCTCCTCCTCCTCCCTCTCTCTCTCTCTCTCTCTCTCTCTCTCTTTCTCTTTCTCTCTCTGTCTCTCTCTCCCCCGTCTCTCTTTCCTCTTCCTCCCAAAAAGCCTCGCCTATACACGCACCCCTGTTTCGCCTTCTTCGGGTGTCGAAGGAGCCCTGATCCGTCATCTGCGGCGTCACTGGCACGTCATCGGTCCGTCATCGGCCCGCCATCCGGCGTCATCCGGTGTCATCGAGGCAGACCAACTGCTGCTCTGCCCGCTCCCGTCACCCCTCTCTGTAAACGCCACAAGCGGCCGGCGCGGCGTGTTCTCGGTTTGCTAGAAATAAAGGTATTTCGGCTACCGCGACATAGGCGGCACTGAAGCAATGTTCAGTGTCAAATGTCCTTCACACTGAGCGATGCTCAGCGTGAATGATGTGGAATGAAAGAAAGCGAGAACGAGGAGGCCGACGGAATGTGGATGCATTAGGAATTTAATGTGACTTTGGCCGTATCTGTGACTTTGGCCGTAAATGGGCATGTCCCGTGGCTGATATGTGAATAAATGAAATGAAATAATGATGACGCTGGCGTAATCGAGTGTGGGCAATCGGCAATAAAACTTATAAAGCTGTATAGGTCCACGCTTTATCCCACACACAAGTTGGCAATTGAGTCTTGTTTGCTACAAAGTGTTTCAATGATCAGGAAAAAGAAGGAAAACTATCGATGCATTGTTGTTGATGCATCATCTATCACAATGCTAACTAAGAGCGCCGTCAATGATGACTAACCAAAGACGCATTACCCCGCTTTCCGTAGTGGACTAGCACACGGGGCTCGCCTCTATCCGTCGTCACACGGTGCCCACCCTCAGCACCCGTAACGAGCAGTGCCAAATTACCACAGCTGGAGGTGGGGAGCCTCAGCTAACTGACAGGTCACACCGTGCGGTCTGAAAATGGCCCAACTTGTCGGCCGAAAGTTGACTCATCTGCGCCCACCGGCAGACCGCACACAGTGCCGCCTGTTCTCGCCGGTCTGCCGTTAGCAGCAATAAAGGCTAAAAGCGAGAGCTTATTGGTCAACTAGGCACCGGCAAACGGCCCATAATGGCCTGTAGAGAGCTCGCA